ACTTTTCTAAATCGTTTAAATGTCAATCAGGCCTTTATGAAGCATTCATAAAACTTATGTAATTTTTTAAAGGCCTTTTAATAAATTAGCAAAATTATACAGTGAATTTTTCAGAACAAATCCCACCTTACAGAGTTTATGTTTTAAGAAAGAAAAGTCACAAACCAAATATAATTCTTCAGCATCTGTAGTTTTTACTTCTATTATTTGGTGTATTATGTATATAGAGCTCACATGATGTGGATAATAATATGTTTCATGATAAATCAAGTCAGTTTTTACCTGGAGTTGCAGGAGGTGTCGTCATTAGTGAAACAGCAGAAGCTGCTAGAACTGCAAACAAAGATAAATATTATAAAAGAAACATCTTTAAATCATAAAGTAACATAATGTGAGCAGCATGCAGTTCACTGATACAGATGACTGAGTTTTCTTTAAGCTGCAGCTGCTTTCAGATGTGTGAGAAAACAAACTGTTGGTGCAACACGAGAGCAAAGAGGTGATAAAAGTCTGAGAATAAAGAAAACATTCAGCTTCTCTGATCACATCTTGATTCTGCTCCATCTGCTGCAACACGGGATGATCAGAGCTCATAAAACCTTCAGCTGCACAGTTGCTAACATTTAGCATGAAAACTTTTAAACCAAAGCAACAAGAAGCAGCTGCAGCTGTCGTCACACTGAGATGTCAGATCACTGCTGATTCTCTGCATTTTGTTTAAACTTTTAGAACTGAAAACATGTTAGCATCACTTATCTAAGCATAACGTTGCTAAACTACAACCTAGCATTTAGCTTCAGGTTCTTTTGGTCTAATTTTAGTGCAACAATCTCATTAGTTTTGAAATAAGACAAAAATAACTTAAAATGACTTTTCAGCAAGATATAGGATCTTATTTAAAGTAAATTTCTGCATCTTTTCATTCTAATCATCAAATGAAGATTTTTCATTATAAGAATCCTAAACTATAATTAAATCTCAGTTTAAAGCTGCAGCCTAATCAGCAGGACCACAATAACACTGCATGTTCTTTATTTGATCATTTTAGCTCTGATTAAAATGAACTTTCAGTAAATTTGGACACACCTCATCATAAACCTGAGTTATTAATTCCTAAGCAGAAATATGCAAATATTACACTTGCACTGACATCACTTTGCATTTGAAAAAAAATAAAAGTTCATTTGGCGGAAACCTGAGCTCACTGCGGCGTTTGCTGGCTTTGCATTACTTCCTGCATGGGAGGCATCCACTAAATTAGCTTGTGGAAATTATGCAAATGCAGATTTATGACTAAGTTAAGGTTTTTCTGGTGAGTAAATAAACAGCTATGATGGCTAATTTATGTCCAGAAGCTGATTTTGAACAAACATTCTTGTAGCATTTGATAAAAACTTGTTTAATCATTTGATTAAACTGAACTGAAGAAGCAAAAGTTTTAAAGTAGTCGCCTCAGAGAGCATCTCTGTGTTTTCATCAGTAAAGATTTAAAACCGGAGCTGGGAGGAAAAGTCTGTTAGTAGTTGAAGTGAACTCACTCAGGAAGCAGAGCTGCACCAACAGCTTCATCATCTTGATTCAAACCGTCTCCCACTTGATTGGTTCTTCTTTTGACAACAAAAAGCTGTAATCATCAGCGAAGCAGCAGTAGTTTCCCTTTTTTATTGGAGTTATTTTGTTCCTTTTTCTTTTAAGCTCCTTCCTCAGTCCTCGACTTTTAGACCTGAAGCTCTAAAAGCGTCTCTTCCTTTCTCTGTCTGTTTCTCCCGCCCTCCCCCATCCTCTCTTCTCACCCGTTTTACTCGCCGTCGCCCTGTTTCACCTCGCAGAGTGTTTTTGTCGCATGTGTTAAACTTTGGGTTTGAAGAATTTAAATTTGGCCGGCGGGCTCTGAGGCCTGACTTCACAAAGTCTCTTTGCTCTGACGAGGAACTGTGGATAAAATGTGGATTATTTTTGGACCTTTTTATTATTTTTCATTGAGAATTTAGCCAATATCTGCAGAAAAGAGAAAAAATCTAATAAAAACACAACTTTATGTGCCTTAAATCTGTCACTCTTTGTATTTTTTCTTCCATCTTAACCTTTTCTTCCTCCCCTCTTTCTCCCACCTGTGTTTCTTAAGGAAAAACAAACATCACTCTGAATCTTCTTCTGTGTGCCACACTCGTTGAGCGTCTTTCTGTAAATCACTCTTGGTATTGCTCGGTTTTCAGGAACTGAGTCACCCGCCGCAGAGCGAGCTCCACATTCACACAGGATGCAGCAGTAGCTCTGCGTTCTCGCTGCTTCTGCGTCGACCCTTTTCAAGCTGCTTCCGACCTGCAACTCGCAGATGAACGTTAACTCTGCAGGTTTCTGCAGCTCTCCAGCCACTTTCACCTCCTCAATACATGTCAGCATGGAACAAATTCAATGCATTTTGGCATTTAGACGTAGTGAAAAGGTCAATACGTCTGAAGGTTAAATTGAGCATCAGAACGGGATAAGTGGGGGTTTGAGGCATTTTGTAGGCGGCCAGGCTGGTCTGACTAAAACAGAAACTGCTTTTGGGTTTTGGGTTTTCACCATCCGTGCCATCTCTCCACGCCTGAAATAGAGAAAGAGTCAAGCAAGGCACAGTTTGTGGATTGAAAGGTATTGCTGATGTCACAGGAGAATTAAATGAGATATGAGAAAAAAATGCCCAGACAACCAAGAAGTGCAGAAAACTTTCTCTGAGGTCATAATATGTTCACTAAAATCAGACGATCAATGAGTGAAACCGCGTCACCTGGTAGAAGAGGCTGGAAATCCAGATCCATCCTGCGATATATGCAGAGCTGCAGGTATAGAAATATGAAACACTGGAATGTTTAACCATAAAACAAACATTTTTCATATGGCAGAAGTGTAATTACAAGAAATTTAATTTAGAAATAACTTGGAATGTGTTGCAAAACAGCGTCTTGCCTAAAGAAGAGGGATGGAGCGGCCAAAATTCACATCCGGTGTACCGCAAGGTTTCACCTTCGGGCCCTTCATATTTAATATCTACATCGTGGCTCAGATTACAACAAATAACAGGATAAGTATAAATACTTAGCAAGTATTTCAGTCAAGTTTCTATCACTTGAAATAGGACAAAACAAATTTTAATCAAGATTTAGGAGCTGGTTCTGCTGACATTTTATTCACTATTAATTAAACTTTTCAATTATCTGGTTCTTTTTCATCAATATTACAGAATAATTGGCTTAAAGAAATCAATCAAGTTAATGTTGGTTTCATTTCTTAGGGCTCAAAAGCAGCTCTAACCAGTCTAGGTTCAAAGAAACTCGGTGTTTCAGCAGTTTTGCAGTTTTCTGGAAGTTTGTTCCAGATTTATGTTGCATAGAAGCTGAATGCTTTGGTTCTGGTTCTGGGGATGCATAGCAGAACCAGAACAAGCTCCTATGTATTACCAAGAAGTTACTTGTAAGTTAGTTTTCCTCATTTCAAGCATTTCAAGAATGTTTCACCTGAACTCAAATTAAAAACACTTGGTGAGATTTTGTGTTTGTGCCGTCGTTATGCAGATGATGAGCAGCTCTACATCACAGTGTCACCAGGTAACGATGAACTAGTAGAAACTTAGAAAAGATAAATGCATGGAGGCACCATAACTTCCTCCAGCTGAACAGAAACAAACTGAAGTTTTTTTTTTCTGACCTCTAATCTAGAACAAATTTTCAGAAAACTGAAAAACAGCCGAAACGAAGAGGATTTAAGCGGCTGAATCCTCTTCTGAATCCTGAATTTCATCCAGTTATAACGCCCAGACTGAGTGGTGTGCATGAGGAATATTCACTTCTGCCTCTCAAACTTCCACCAAGAGGTTTTAAATGCAAAAGGAAAGAAGTTTTAAGCTTTAATTATTCAATACCCTCAACTTCTCCTTCATGTCTTCTCCTTCAGTTGCTCTCTGAACGTCATAAAGGTCGTTCAAAGCTGAGCTGCACAGTTTAATGAATCACAGTTAGCATTATAGAAGAATCAGCAAAATGTGACAAAATAATATCGCTGATGTCTGCAGTTTTCACAATTAAATGATTTTCTGCGGTTTTATTTCAAATGTTAGTTTCTCAAAAACCAAAATATGACATTTTGAAATAGTGACAAATAAAAATGTTCACTATTGGTGTTTTCAAAAAACATGCAGTTTTGGCACCAAAAATTTGTTTTTTTGCATAAAAAATGTGTTTATAGTCTAAAGACATCGAGAAAAATCTAAAACATCTAAAATGTCCTCAAAAATACACAAAGAAAAACAAATACATAATAAATGTCAAAGGACCCAGAATATTTTGTTTATTTAAAGTTTATTACATAGTTGCATAATAAACATTATTTGGTTTATTTTAACACTATTTGTTTGTCATATTTAACGCGTCTTCATCAGGGTTACAGTTAACAAACAAAACCTGAACAAACAAAGTTTTTCTTCTTTATCATCATTATTTTCAGTCTTTCAGGCACAAATTTAAGATGGCAGGAAACAGACAGAGGCTGAATTTAGTGACAACAGCTCCTCTCTGTGGTGAAGGTTCGGTAGCTGAATGGAGAGAAGGAGAAGAAAATCATCAAAATTCAGCTGGGAACTGGAGGAAACTGGAGGGAACTGGAGGAAACTGGAGGGAACTGGAGGAAACTGGAGGAAACTGGAGGGAACTGGAGGAAACTGGAGAGAACTGGAGGGAACTGGAGGGAACTACTTCCTGTTTCACAGCAACACAGTTTCATCTTTCAGTTTTCTCCGCAAATATTTATAACTCAGTGTTTATTGCACTATAAAACTCAGTAAAAATCACAGTTTGAAGATTTTGTGTAAGTATGTTCAGAGTAAAGTAGAAACTCGAATATCTATATTAATATTTCAGTTACTGTTGTGCAGATTTTCCATTTTGAAAATCCCACATTTAGCCAATGAAGGACTTTCATTCACATGTGAATCAATGCATCATTTTTAATCAGGAAGTTGGGAAAACTTTATGAAGATTAGATCAGGACATGCATGGCCAGTAAGTTAAGAATATGAAACGCATAGAAACAGAATAAAGAATAAATTAATTTAAAATCTAATTAAAATAATTTGTATATATTTCTGTTAGCAGATCAAAAAGAGTTTACCTGTAGAGGAAACAGAGTCACTGTCAGATATGCCCCAAAGTTCTGTGTAATTGAAGTGATAAAAATGGGTAAAATCATAATCATCATAGAATTCATCGTCTGGCTGGGATGAAACAGCAACACCTGCAGACGTTGTAAAAGTTACAAGTTAAAATCATCCAGTTCTGCACAACTGCAGACTAAACTAAACATGCATGGCTGTAAACCTGCATGTTTTAGTTCTCACCCTGGATCAATTAACATTGACATTAACAGAAAGTAATAACTGTAGCAGGGACCAAAACTAAAACATGCAGGACTTTAATCAGAAAAGGAACCTGAGCTGATGCAGTGGCTGATGTGCTTCTAGTTTTCATTGTAACATTCTTTCTTCTTAAATGATCCTTTTCCTATTTCTCAGGTTGTTTGAGTTGATTTTGTTAGTTTCTGTGTTCCTTCGTTCCTTTTCTTTGATGACATCAGAATGTTTCAGAGTGGCCTACTCAAAGTCTGGAAAATGAAAATGCTGTGGCTTGACCTAAAGCAGAATTTGAAAAAGGCGTTTTGTTTTTCTCTGGCTCTCTGAGAATTGTGAAAGGCTTAAGGCATAAAAGCAGAACTCGGCGAAGGGAAGATACTTCAATACAAAACTGCATGTGGAAAAAAAATCACTTAAACTTTAAATGCAAATAAAAATCTGTGAAAATAATTTAGCAAAAAGATTTCTTTTTTTTCACCCGTATAAAATAATCTGAACTATTTTTCCAAACTCAGAAGCTGTTTTCCCTGTTTGTTACAAACTAACTTGGCTGGTTTGAGTCACTAATAATCCATTGATTCTTAACTCCACCATGTAATTCGACCCATTTTGTGTCAGCTGAGCTCAAATCCTAACAAAGAAACACTGGAACAGTAAATCAGCAGCAGCAGCTCTTCCATCAACCTCCTCGTACCAAAACAATGAAGCTACAAGGCAGAATAAAAACATTCAGACGCCTGAAAAAAACTCACCAAGAGCCGAGATCAGCAGAAAAACATAAAACGTTTCCATCGTCTCGTCCGGCTCACCGCGTCTCCTCAAACGCTCTCCTGACCGACTTTAAAGGTCACCAAACATGTGAAAACGAAACAAGGAATTAGTTCAAAACTCTAGTTATTGGTTTCCTGTAGAGTTTCAAAGTCTATAGATGCAACAGTTTCAGAGTCTATACATACCAAAGTGTAAAAGACAAAGAGCAGCACCCAGCTGACACGATGAAAGACGTTTCTCAAACTGATCTGAAAGATCCAGAATCCCATCAGAACAATGTCTGTCTTGGGGGGCGTTGGCTTGTTGGCTTGTGCACTGAGCTACCAAACAGCTGACAGGAAACAGAAATTATTGCTCTGAAGCAAAGAGAACATTCTGTACACATGTGGCTGATGTCACATGTGTGGCTACTATTGGCTAAATCTCTTTAAGTGAGATTCGCCACCTTTCTTTATGCTTTCTTTCTAAGTGACACTAAAAGTCTGAGGTTGTCTCACCAGTGAAGTGCTGCTGATGCAGATTCTGATTTATTCATATTTTCTTTCCGGTTTATGTAGCTGAATTGTATTTCTGAGGATTTCCAGACAACCACGACTCGCTGTGTTGGCGATTTGTCTGAAGGCAGAAGCAGAAGGTCTGTTGTTGAATATGGTTGGTGATTTTGTTCCACGGGTTGGATCTGATGTAGAAGAAAAATTCTGGAAGGATCTCATTTATTCAGCCAGTCCTCATATAATTATCCACACCTCCAAGCAGCTTGACTGAAAGGAAATGGTGCCTTGGCTCCGAGATCTTGTTTTTGTTGAAACACAGTTCTCTGTCTGCTCTGTGTGTGTCTGGCACGCTCTGCATATTGTCACCTTCCTCTTTCGATAACAGATTCCCGTTTCAGAGTGGCTAATGTCTATTTCTTCTTATAATTTGTCCTTAACTTTCCACCAAATCTTTACTCAAACCCTGTTCGTGGTGACGCTCTAAACCAGAAGGTGGGCCCAAATTTCATCTACCTATAGGGCCTCATACCAGGTTGAGGCGTATCTGAGATCAAGAGACACTTGAGACTCATGTTAGCCTTGAAAACAGGAAGTTATTTCTGGTTTACAAAGTATTAACCTCAAGGTTTTCTCTTACGCCTCCTTGAAAAGGTTATTTTTGCTCTATGGTCTATTCAAAACAAGCTCATTACCTATTTTGCACAAAATCATTGTCACTTTAAATCCAAATAAGCTCAACTTAAACTGCACTCGCACGTGAAAATGGCTGCAAACAGATGTACAATCATACATCCGTACATCTTTGAAAAGCAGAAGTGGAGCCTGCTGCACAATCAGCAAGAATGCAGCAAGTGGTTTCTGGATGGCAAAGGCAGCAACAAAACACTTGTCTTTTCCAGCAGCCATTGTACACAGCTGGAACTCAGCTTTGGTTGCTAGGTAACTGAGATTAAACTACTCAGTCGACGAATTTGGTGGAAACTGACAGAAACATTGTTTTGGATTTCAATACAGAGTTAAAATGCTTAACACAGTTTTTAGATCTTTATTTGTAAAAATGAAAGGAAATGGAATCCCAAAGTGTAGAGGAACATTTTTTACAGTTTATTTTCCCAACAGAATCAACCTTAGTAAATGGACAACATTGCATGGTAGAGGAAATACTGTCATTACTTGGATTATTTTAATACACTTTAGTCATTAAAACCATTTTCAACAAGGGACAAAACAATGAGGGTAAAATATTCTTTAACTCTGAAAATTAAAATTTTCAGGCTTTCATGCACAAATTTAAAATTATAGGAAGCAGGCAGAGGCTGTATTTGGTGACAACATCTCCTCTCTGTGGTGAGTGTTGAGCAGCTGAAAGGAGAAGAAGAAAACCAGTCAGCTGGAATCCAAAGTGTCATTAAAATCACAGTTTTAATGAGGAATCTGGTTGTCAGGAAATTACATTTTTTGCTTTAATCTAATTTGATTTTAAGTGCAAGTGAAACTGGATAATGTGTGTAGAAACTCCTCATGATTAGCTCTTGACTTTTTGCAGTAATAATCTTAAATCTTGATTCTTCAGCTATTTGTTACTTTGTTTGGGATTCTTTGGGACACTGTGGCTGGAAAACAGGCCCACATCATCAACCCTCCACTACCGTGCATTTGACTAATGAAGCGCTGATGCATCAAAATAACCACAGCAGGAGGTTCTGTGAGTTTCAGCAGAGCAGGTCAAGGTTACCTGAGGAGGGAAGGATGCTGGAGTCGTTTCCAGCTGGTGGTTCTAATGTTGCTTCACCGCTTCCAAAAATCTCGTCTCCAACATCTCCATCATCTTCATCATCTACAGAACTGTAGTCTTGTGAAAAGACGGCGACACCTACAGATAAAACGGCCCAAACAAACCATGCAAATGTTACCAGATTTACTTTTAAAGAAACTCAAGAACTCTTGTTGAAATGTCAGGAGATTAAAGGAAACGTTGCAGCAGAATGTTGGTTTATTTCATGTTTGTTTCTCTAGTATTTGTGGTTTTCAGCACCACTTCTTCACCTCCAGCTTCCTGCAGGAAGCAACCAGACACATCTGAGTGGTTTATTACCAAAACTACAGCTGCTGATGTTTCTGATCCACTGCCAGATAAACTCATCTCGCTCTTATTTTAACATCTCATTAAATCCTAAATCTAGCAGCTTGTTTATGAATAAACACAAAGTCAGACATAAAGCATAGAAAAGGTGTGAATATTTATTACAAAATCTGATAAAACAACAAACAATATCTTGTAGTTTATATACAGAGCTAATATGTTGTGCTCTTAAATGCTGAAATCACATTTTTGTTATTTGCACTCAGTTTAACTTTTACTGTAAATGAATTGAAGCTAGATCATTTTTTATTATTATTCTGAGCAGAAGGTGGTTTAATGAGCCACATATCAGTCAATCAGCTTTCACTCTTCTGAACCCACAACCCACAAACTATCTGCTGGTGATGTTTTCCATCAGAATCTATTTTTACCCGCGCATTTTTAAAAACTATAACATGTTCAGAATTAAGTAGTAATTTGTTACATTTCCTTGAGGAGCTTTTTTGAGGAAATGTGTTTCTAGGAGTATTTTTACTACTTTTTACCAAATACTTTTTCACTCTTGAGTCATTTCTTCAGCAGCTACTGTTTGCTTTTACTTGAGTAAAATTTGTTGAAATAGAGCTACTGTTACTTGAGAACAGCTTTTGGGAACTCCACCAGCGCCCGACTGCATTTCATGTTTATTCAGCTTAGTTAATATTCAACAAGATGAAGAGAATCCACATCGTCTCGTTGCAGACAGATTAATTCATGAAGCTTTTTCTCCACAGTGACAGAAACCACTGACTGTTGCCCCGGTAATATAAACAGTGAAATTAAACAACTCCTCCAACGGACAAATTTGTCAGTGGGCGGAAAAATGTCCAACTTCCTCCTGATGCGCTTGGATTTCCAGTTGCAGTGATTATAAGTCAGGAACTCTGTTCATGTGTACCAAGAGGTCTGGAGTTAATCTGTCAGAATTTCATGGTTTTCTAAAACGGAAATCCCCTGACATGTCAAAGAGTAACCCAAAAAAACATCCAGATCACGTCAGGCCTTTGGTAACGGCAGCGCTCATGAACAGTAACCAACAAAAGCACCATCTACAGGAGAGTTTCAAGGCCAGATCCTCTGCTGACCCAAAAACAAACACAACGCTCCGACTCACATTTATCAGCAAACATCTTGATGATCTCCACACTGCAAGCACTCGATCTTATCAAGCATTTGTGATCTACTTTCCAGGGCAAATGTCTTGAAATAAGACAAAACTAACTTATAGTAACTTTTAGCAACGTATCTGAGCTTGTTTTAAGCAAATGATTCCTTAATAATATCGATTAGAAATAAGATTCTAACAACAGAGAAATAAAATGTAAGAGGAAGTGGGACTCTTTTATCAAGATGAATAAAATATTGTGGTTTGTGTCGCGTTACATCTGACATAAAACTAACTGCATTTAAGGAAGAGAGCATTATGCCAAGAATGAAACACGGTGGTGGTGGTGTCATGCTCTGGGCTGCTTTGCTACTTCAGGACCTGAACGACTTCCAGTAACGGCTGGAACAAAACCAAAACATTGTTTTGGCACAAAGATCCAGTTGGTACACGTCCAAATGACTCAAACAAACGGAAGTTTCCGAGTGGCCTAGTCAAAGTCTGGACAAAGGCAGGTGATTCGTACCTAAATTTCTCCAGATATCTGTCAAAACACTCAAAATCTTGACAGCAACCAGTCAGATTAGTTCTTAACTGATCAGAATTTAAAAACAGTTTTTAGAGTTTTGCTTTAAATATTAAAGCAAATCTCTGAGTGGAAAATACTTTTTCACGACACTTTATGTGAATTATCAGCTCATTAACATGAAAAAACCAAGTTATTCTAAATCAGGGGTGTCCAAAGTGTGGTCAGAGGGCCATTTGAGGCCCTTTCAGTCATTTTTAGTGGCCGCTGGACACAATTTTATGAGATTTTTAATGACATATTTATATATTTAATAGAAAATGAGTGTTCTTTTTTTATTATTTTGATTTATTTTTGCTTTTATTTTAATGTCATAGTAAGTGGGGCCACAAATCTCCAGCAACATTTAAGACCAAAACAGACTCCGACAGTTAATGGCCTTTTGTTGATGGCAATAAACTAAAATTGATAATTTGACAAACAACTTTAGAAACTGTGCAGCTTTAGGATCCTGTTTTTGACCATTTCATTCAAAATATTACATGTTAATTTGTTGCTGAGCAGGAAAAAAGAAAATAATTAACAAGAAAACCATTTTGCATTTTTAAGTAAAAAAACAAATAAAGAAGAAGTGATTTTAATTTGGTGATTTTGGACATCACTGTCCAAAATAATGATTAAAAAAAGCATCTTTTTATATTTTTTCTGTTAGAAAAACAATTGTTCTCAATTTTCCTTCTTGTTTTCCATAAACTAGAGGTTTATTTGAATCATGTCATTAATTTTCCTCCAATTTTTAACTCCACCGTGTCGTTTACAACTGATGAAGCTCTGCCAGAGTAGCAGCAGCAGCAGCCACTTTCAGCTCCGCCCTCCAGAACCACAAGAATGAAACACGTGCCACTAAAGACGGAGTAAAGACTTTCAAACACCTGAAAGAAACTCACCGAGAGCCGAGATCAGCAGGAAAACCTGCATCGCCTTCATGGTCTGGTCTTCCTCTGCTGGTCGTCTCCAGCTGGCGGCGGGTGCAGCGGCGGGTGCAGCGGCGGGTGCAGCGCTCGGCTGCGT